GTCTAAACCGGCTGGATTTACCTAAATCGGACTGGACTTCGAGCGGACTGAGCTAAATTGAATGAAGCTATGATCGGACTATGCTTAAACCGACCAACTATGAAAGCGATTTACCCAAATATGGTCAGACCAATGATCGATTTTGCCCTTCAAAAATAAAACTAAGTCCAAATGTGAGTCCTCCTTGAGCAATTAAAAGCAATCCGGTCAAGCCTAGATAAAATATTTGATCGATTTAAAGAAATCCGATTACAATCTTATTTCAAGTCCATGAGGGATATATATGTTGTGATTTTGGCTGTGTTCTAAACCGGGTAGGCTATGTGCGATTTACAAGAATCCTTGAAACTGTACAATCTGTGACCAAAAACACCAAAACCGGATGATGCGATTAAGACTCAAAACTTACTGTCTGCGATCAAAGTTTTCAAATCGAATGAAGAATGGTGTTGTTCGATGAATGCAGTGACTTCTTTGAGCGATTTAGTAAGAAATACAGAAAATGAAACTCAGATGAAGAAAACCTGCGATTAATGATGAAATCGAACAGGGATAACCAGAATGGGCTGTGCGATGAACACCAAGAACAAATACGATCAAGCAATCAAGTCCGACCAAGATTGAGTAACCAAAGTCAGCTAAAACAGTGAGCGATTTATGAAGAACATGACCGATATAGCTCAGAATAGATGAAGAACTAAATGGATTGATTTGGACCTTTGAGAGTTATAAGACCAATCCAGTTGGGCCTTGAGAGATTTAGACTAAACAAAATGTAAAAAACACAAAAAAACAACAAAATATAGAAAATTTTGGATCAAACTAAAAAAAATGAAGAACATGAGATGAATTTATTAAAAACCAGAAAAATTTATTCGAGAATCTTCAAATCAGATGATTTCTTTTCGTGATTTCTTGCAATTCCGGCTCTGATGCCAATTGATAGTCCACTTGAATCAATCTTTAATCTTCTAGCAAGAATCCATGGCAAAATCTAGATATGAACACTCAAGAACATATGAGAGAGATGAGAGGAAAAGTCAAACTTCATATATTGGTCAAACCTCTATTACATAATCTGATTTTACAATAAGGCTCCTTACCTAAAATTACAAAGACTAACCCTTTATATAGGGTCAAACTAGAAAGCCTAGTCAAAGTCAAACTAACTAATACAAAGTCAAGCACGGTGTCTATTTTAATTATAGACAGTATTTATCTTTCAAGACGAATACAATTTAAAAATGATTTTGAATCCTAACAATAATGCATGCAAAGCTTCTGGCTTACCTATATAAAGTCTGAAGTTTGAAGAGTTTTACTTCAGAGTTATTTCAAGACTACAAGTCTGAAGTCATTCTTCAGAGTTATTTCAAGAGTACGAGTCTGAAGAGTCATTCTAAATTTACTTCTAAGTTTAAATTCAATTTACTGATATAGTTTCATTTCTAAATTTAATTTAATTCTAGGGTTAACTTCATTTTAACTAATTATTGATATAGTTTATTTCTAAATTCAAGTCTGAAGAGTTATACTTCAGAGTTATTTCAAGAGTACAAGTCTAAAGTAGCATCATACTTTCGATGATCATTCATATCTATAAGATAAGTTCCTGACATGATTTAATTTTTTCAAATTGCCCCGTGCAATACACGGGATCGAACCTAGTATATATATATATATATATATATGTGTGTGTGTGTGTGTGTGTGTGTGTGTCTGTGTATATATTTATATGAGACTTGAATATAATAATATGTATATTTTTATTTTTCTCAATTGTAACTCAATTTTCTTTACGTGAGACTTGAATATAATCATATGTATATTTTAGTTTATTTTTTGTCTTTTTTATTGATGTAATTATTACCAAACATTAAATTAATTAGACTATTCATTTTCTTCAGTTACATTCATATTTCTTAATTTCTTTTATTTCATGTAACTCTAATTTTTTATTTACATGATAAT